GTATTCAGTCTATTGATTGATGAGGTGGCGAGGAGGAGGAGGAACCCGAAGTAGAAGTGGGCTGTTGTCTTCTTCTCTCTCCTTTGTCTATTCTCCCTCTCTCCTCCTTCGTCTGTGTATGATTCTCACCTCATTCTATCATCACACATATTACGATTGTTTGTCATTTCATCAGCAGATCGATAATCATAGGGACTGGTAATGTTGACGAGTATCATCACGTCTGGGCTCATTGCAATAGGCTCTAACTATGTCGGGAGCTGTTTCTAGAAGTTCTGTCCTTGTAAACCAGCGGTCGTCTTCCGGCTCCTGATAAGCAAACCGGACTTTGTACTGTTTCTGGGGACGACTCTACCTCCTGTTCTGAACACATCCTCATGTACAATGCTGTCAATGTCATAACTTCCATCCATATCCGGGGGAATCATGGATCTTCTTGAAGGGAACTGTTGACTTGTGACACTCGGCAACAGCTTTGAAGCATGGAACACAGGGTATGTGTGGAGGTGTGCTGGAATCTCTATACTGTAGGACGGTCCATCCTCTCCGCCCTTGACTTCTAGAACCGGCCACGGTCCCCTATATGCAGGCAGCAATTTCTGCGAGATGTGCTCCTCAGGTGCAAACTCTTTAGACCTGATCCAGACTAAGTCGCCAACCTGAAACTGTGATGGGCGATGGGCGACGGTGCTTATTGGCCTGTTCTATCATTCTGTGCTGGGCCTTCTTGAGGTTTTCAACAACAGTTGCTAACTCTTTCTCGTGCTGTACCGCGAACTCCCTAGTACCGGGCGGTAGCCTGTGAATCTGATCCCGGTTCAGTCCTTCAAATGGTCTACGCGGTCTAAAGGACTTGTGCAGCTCATTGGGAGTGCGACAGGTAGACAGATGCACGCTGTTATTGTATGCGCTAGCTACCTTAGGCAACATCTCGTCCCAGTTGATCTGATCGGGTCTAATGTACATGCGCATAACTTGCTGTAGGATCTTGTTCATTTGCTCGGTCTGACCGTCGGTCTCTGGGTGGCGGCCAGACGACATCAACAATTTAGACACGTAAACTCGCATGAGTTCTTGCCAGTTCTGGCTGGTGAAACGACTATCCCTATCACTAACGATTGACAATGGGACTCCATTCTCACTAACCCAATGATAAAAAAACTTCTGAATAACTAATTCTGTGCGTGCCTCTGCAGGCAAAGGAACGAAAACGACATACTTGCTAAATCAGTCAACTATGACCATGACTTGGCTCTTACCATGTCTACTCTTGACCTGAGTATCCATGAAGTCTATGGACACCGAGTCTCCCGGCTGATCAGGAATGGGCAAAGGTCTGAGAAGACCTAGAGGGGCACGCGTAGTAGTTTTATTCCTCTGGCACACTTTACAACTGCGAACATACTCTATGCAGTCATTCTTCATCCCTGGCCAGGTGTATGCACGCATCAGATTGGCTAATGTCTTTTGCCAACCAAAGTGTCCCTCAGTGTCATGGCATTCCCCTAGGATCAGACTGCTGATTTCCTCACTGTTAGGAACGCATAGGCGATTGAATACATCCGTCTTCTCAAACAGCAATCCATCTGTAGCGCGGTAGTGTGGTTCGGTCTCTGGGGCCTCCTTGACTCTTTTGAGGAGGTCACTATAGATAGGGTCCTACGCATACGCTTGCCTCACTTTGTCCTGCAGGTCGCTCCCTATATCCAGATAGTGTACTATGGCTCCAAAGTAGTCTGATCTCCTACTCAGAGCATCCGCAACTACGTTGTACTTGCCCTTGACTGGTTTGAGCTCAAAGTCATACTGGTCTATTTCAGCGGCCCACCTGGTTAGCTTAGGTGTCATCTTGGCCTGTGTCTTTAACCATCTAAGAGTTTCGTGGTCTGAGTGTACTTTGTAGTGCCTCCCAAGCAGATAATGCTTCCAATGCTCTAAAGCCTGCCTGAGAGTGTAGTGTACTCTCTCGTACGTCGAGGTAGCAACCTTCTCTGAGGGCATCCTCGCTGACATGAACTCTACGGCTCTATAGCCATTTTCGTCGTCTTGCTGCAGCACGACGCCTATACCATACTGACTCGCGTCCGTGGTGATGACAAATGGCAAAGACGGATCAGCTACCTTGAGGACAGGGTACTCTATCAATGCGTGCTTTAATTTCTTTAGCGCAGACATATAGTCTTGGTCCCATTGCCAGATTGCCTCTTTCTTAAGCAACCTGCGCAAGGGGGCGGCGATAGTAGAAAAGTTCCTTACGAACTTTCTATAGTAATTAGGCCTAAGAACGACCGCAACTCTGTCAACGTGCGGGGCGGCGGCCAGTCTGTGATTGCCGCTATCTTGCTGTCCTCTGGCTTAATGCCATCTCCATCTAACACGTGGCCCAAGTACAAGACTTGTGTCTTGGCCCACTCGCACTTCTTTGCGTTGATCTTGAAGTTAGCCTCTCGTAGCTTCTCCAAGACCTGCCTCAAATGCCCCTGATGCTCCTGGAGGGTCTTGCTGAAGACTAATATATCATCTAGATAAACTACTACAAACTTGTCTAACCACGGTCTAAACAGATCGTTCATACAACGCTGAAAGGTGGTTGGCGCGTTGGTTAGTCCAAAGGGTATCACTATGAACTCGTAGTGCCCATATCTAGTCCGGAACGCAGTCTTATACTGGTCATCAAGGTGGACTTCTATCTGATGGTATTCGGACTTCAAATTTATCTTAGAAAAGTACTTGCAACCTTGCACCCGATCTAAGAGATCGTCTATCCTGGGCAGTGGTTCAACATTCTTCACAGTAATCGCATTCAAACCCCTATAGTCTATACACATTCTCAACTCTCCTTCCTTTTTGGGGACAAATAAAACTGGTGCTCCAAAAGGAGATGAACTGGGCCTGATCCAACCTTTCTCTAGGAGCTCGTTCAACTGCTTGCGTAGCTCCTCTAACTCTCTAGGGGACATCCTGTAGACTGCTCCCTTAGGAGTTCTACTGCCAGGCTCTATCTCTATCCTGTGCTTGATGGGT